TAATGTCTTCAGCAAGTCGTGCCGAGTCAAGAGTTACCCTCATCGGAGAGGGTTTTCCTTTCGAGACATTTTGGCCTTTGAAAAGGCGACATATTTTGCCTTGGACGTCGCACATTCCGAGGGTTGAGCAGAGTTTATCCCACTGCTCTTTGTCGAAGGCAGCCCTACCTTCTAGCAAGATTCCTTCCGATACTGGGACATTAAATAAGATTAGTGAGTTAGATCTGTCGTCCCTGGTGTTGGGTGAAAACCGCTTGTGAGTTGGGGTGTTGCTCTTTCCCTTCTTCACGTTCACCCAATGTTTTGTGTTGCTGGCAGATACTGGGGGGTTAACAACAACCGTAGTACTCTTTAGGTACTGTATTGTCGCAGTGACAATGTACCCATGTACTACAGAAGTTGCATTCGAAAGCATTGTCGCTGATTTTGACTGGTGATGAGCAGGAAAAACAGTCGTCGTTTTGAGAATAAATTATTATTATTATTGTTATTATTATGCTGTTTCTAGGCGTTGGACTGTGTCGACCGAGCCTTGAAGCGTCTTTTTCTCCTATTATTAACTGGCTTACTGGTCTTATTAGGAATAGGAGTGGTGTCTTGCTTCCTCTGTGGTGTCTGCGTTGAGTGATCTAAAGTATGGACACTGAGAGGCGTACTATCGACTGACATTTTGGGTTTTTTAGCAACCCGTTCGCACGATATCGGGATTTTCGATGCACTGTCGACCCCGGGGTTTATGCCTCTATAAGTTTTCCTGGTTGTTACAGTGTAAAATGTACTAGCGAATTTATTACTCGACATGATACCAGGGAGATTAGGAGGTGAATAACGAGATAATTAGAATGCGTGTATCCAGTAACTCGTCCACAAGTCCTGTGTTTGTGAGTGAGCGGATGTATGTATGCTGCCGAAGCAATTAGAAATAGAGCAGTTGATTGAGGTAGCTAGACCTACCGCGCAATAGTTCTGACTTGGAATTGTTCCGTATGCCCGAAAATGTTTTCAGATTGTCAACCAATGAATGGAGACAACTTTTTATAGCTTCGGAGGTGATAAAGTATCCCGAAAGTGGATTGTTTCCCGTAAATGGAAGAGAGTCAGCGAGGACACGTCAAATTCGAAGCGCGCGTGTGAGGAGTTGGGTAGTTTTTGAGTAATGAGTGTATCTGTTAGCAGGCTGGATCTCACTCCATGACTAACTGTAATGTCCAGACTTTGGTAGGTTTGCGTCTAGCTTGAAAGCATCTTGTTATCTAAGAAAACCCCTTATCTCTTAACAGGATGTAAGTTTTTATTCCTCTATCCTTTTCACGAGCTACTATAACAAATTGTTTACTTTGAGCTCGATTCATATTCATTCGGCACAGTTATTGTTACTTCTCGTGTTCAGTTAATGATAGTCTAGCCACTTGATTGCACTAATTCCAGTCAGTTGGCAGTTATTTATGAATTTGTATGTCCCGTGATTTGCGTTCGCTTCAGGTAGTAAGGTTTCTAGATCCGAGCAGCTGTCACATTATCAGGCCGGAGATCAATTAGTTGCATTGTGGGGAACGATAAAGAGAAAAATTCTAATGCTAATAAGAGGATTTTAAAACGAAGTAAATAAATGGATAGATAATTTAGTTAATTGGTATTAAAAATTGTGAGAGAATACAGAAGTTTTGAGACGTTCGGTATGTAAAATGTATATAAATGTATAAAGTGCCACATACATAGTAGGTTATCAAGTAAAATGACTTAACTCGGCTGGATTATTTTTGGGATTCTTTGGTTTTCCAGGAGTCCAAGTTTTGGGTCTCATAATAGGTGTTTACTGGCATTTGGTTTGATGCTTGCATCAATTCCAATCACCACTTTCCTATGTAGACGAAAAAATGGTTAGTCTGACGGGCGTGGTATCACCTCAGTCGAAGTTTATTCTTTACTCCGTTGTGTTGTTTTCTACCCATATTTCCATTGGATTGTTCAGGGGCAAATCGCTTATATACTTAGTATAAAACGGTCAATAGAAGACTGATACGCAAATATCAGATTTCAGTAGGGGTGGGTAGACTGAGATGTGGAGCATTACCAGGATTAACTTATGACGCTATGTATACCGGGCTGGATAGTCATTTGTTCTCACCTGCACATTTCTCTTTGTGACTTGTTGATTCTGCGATTGTTTCATCAGGTCACCTTCGTTGTTCTTTGGGACCATGTGTGGAAGGGATGCTTATTGGTTTTCAGAAGGACGGATGATACCAAGCTGTAGAGTTTAGTCAAATTTAGCTCTATGAACTTGAAGCTTATCAGATACTACTCTTCTAAGCCTTGAAAACACAGGTGCGCATTCAGTTTTGAATGTGTGACTTACCTGCAGCTAATTTGCGTAAGGTTGAGGGATAGATTTGGCCAGGTCCGGAAATTCGGTGAGTGTTTCCTGCAACTTCGCAGCTGTTACTGGTTGAGTTTTGTTTCAATTTAGAGAAATGATGCGGCTTTTGTGATATGAATTTCCTTTTAGTTCTAAACATCGTTTCTTGATGTCGACTAGAGTTTCATTCCTCTTCAAAACAATCATCCTCACCACTGCCAGACGGAAATCCGGCACAGTGAACACCCAGGAAAATTCCCCCTTAAATCCGAGATCTAGTGTTGGCATTTTTGCCATAACATATAAATTTTAACTTTGACGGCCGCTTGAAGTGTACATTGGTACATTTTTCGTCCCAGATAAGTTTTTTTCTGACGAGTGATACTACGTGCAGCACCTATATCCACCGAGACGTCCAAGCCTGAATTACTGCCTCTGACGAAAAGGGACTACTTAGAGATCCCTCTCAGCCGTCAAGATCAATGAAAGGGTTATTCGCCACTCACAATCTTGTCAGTCTGTTCAGGCCATACAAATGATCGGCTTTCACTGGTTGATTTGGCACTAAACTTCTAATAGTTGGACGGAACGGTACTGACTGATTAGGTGTCTATGATCTGCTTCGTGATCTAAACGACGTTCTTCGCCATGACCTAAAACGGTTTCTACTATCAAATTGCACTTTGTGATAGTCTCTGTCAGGACCTTGACACTCGCGATGAGTTGAGTAATGATGGGTTCAGTTGGTTCTGTTTTTTTTGGTGTGTCGTATGTGACCTAATCGGAAGACCACTCTGCATTATTCCACTTGTAGTGTATGCTTGTCAGGGGTAAGAGGTTTCCGAGTCACGTGCAACCAAACAGCTTTGGAATTGGCCTTAGAGAACTTGGATCTATATTGGATTTAGGACTACTTCACCCGTGGTGTCGTTGCCGACTAACATTCGGTTGTCACCCAGGAACGGACGTGGTTGCCTATCAGTTAATGTTCCCCCTTGGAGTAACTTTCGGATTCCTTGGCTGCCAGATAAGGACAGATAATTCATCATCTCTCACATTATGATGGCGAATGGTTGTGATGCGAGGCTACCTGAATCTAATTCACAGACTGCCTTAGCAACTGAATGGTGGACAGGGCATAAACCTTGGAATCGAATCTCTCTGGGTTTCATATTGTGCCTCGTGAAATAATACTCTAGTGAAGTAGACTTCAACTCTTGGTCACTACAATCAAGTTGTGGGAGTCAGAAGTACGTAGTCCTGACAGTGTCTACTTCTAAAAGTGACGAAGTACACTTATTTTCTTGGCTTCAATTGTGTATCGAGTCTGAAGTCCCATGGAGTGTGACGAAAATATTTATGAACTACAAAGGGAAGAACAGTGATTGAAGCAGGGAAATTGTGTAATGAAAAAATAGTGAACATAGATGTGTCTGTATGTGTGAATTTTGCGTTGAGGATAGAAGCCACTGTTCCAAAATTGTGGTGATCTCACTCAATGGAAAATGGCTGGGGTCTGTGATGCCAGATTCACCGAAAACTTCGGGAAGGAGCCTACAGCTCAGAGCACTACTCCAGCGTAGCACGAGCTGATAACCTGGGGATACTCGATTACCACAGATTAGTAAAAAGTAAAGTAAACTTCCTGCAGCCAAGCTGGTAATCAGGATGTGACGATATCAGTTCGAAAATCCTGAGTCGGTGTATGGAAGCCCTCAATTTGCAGAAATGTGACCTATTTCGGCATTCACTAAAGTCAAGTTCACTTCCAACAGAACTAAAGCAATTCATTATCTCCAATATTGAAACGAGAAGATGGGGAAATATGGTGTGCCGTAGCCAAGTAGCCATAAAGTGTGAAAAGCTTTGTTTGATCTCCAAAAGGACCTTAGAACAATGAAGTGATTGGCAGTAGACAACGGGTTTACACTCGTCTGGTCCAAATGTCATGTCATGATATGACGTGACACCGAAAACTTACGCCCTCCATGGAATTCCGCTTATAAATGTTTCCACAGCGGATTGCTGCATTACTTTTCCATATTTCAACTAACTCACGTTCAGTCTGCCATCGTAATAACTGTTAGTATCTTGGATCCCTGTTATCTTGGGACAAACACGTTCATTTAAATACATTTTAGTGGTGATCGAGTCGAGATTGACTATGATCACCGCTAAATACTCATTAAGAACCTGTCACTTAGAATACAAATAAATTCAGGGTGAATAATATATTTGCTGGCAATCTCGTGGTGTCGAAAGAACACCGAAATCAAACCAGAAAAGATGGGAGAAATTACAGAGCCATTGGAGCAAAGAATGGCAGCAACACAAACAGAAAGTTTGCCCGTAAAAGCACGTTATGAACAAAAAGTACTGTTAAACAATCAGTGGTACAATTGGTTGTAATAATGAATGTTTCTGTTAAATCAATCGCCTTCTCTTCATATATGTATTCTACTACAACCTACTAAACTGTCTGGAGCTATTAAAGTCGAATGTCTAAGCTAAATCCGATTGGAATTTTCGAAACATCTCGTACCATTCCGAAAAAAACATGAATTGAGTGGAAAGAAACCAATCGGTTTATACTAACTCGTGAAAAAGACATTGGAAATTGAAGACATTTAAACAAGGCCGTTTTTCATTCAAGCTTTTCGCTGCAAGTAGATTTTGGTCGCAGACTCAACACTCCCCAAATGACATATAGCATATGGACATGTATATACCTTGATTTTGTTATTCGAAATTATTTATGCCTCTAAATTTGGTGCATTCTAATTTTGGTAAGTGTAATATATTGTATTTTCGTTTGAAGTTGATGCGAATATACTATTTGCCATGTGTGTTGAAGTTTGTAGAAAGCGGAAAGCCATATTATAAAGCAAGGTATATTCGTGCTGTTCAATGGCTCAAACTTCTTTTATGAAGATACCTTATTATGGGAAAAATTATGAAGAGGGTAATGATGTGTACCAATTTTAGTTACTTAAGAAAATCTGTTACAAGGTGTTGATATGTTTCATAGTCTCAATAATTATGAAGTAGGAATTGACTCAAATTATTGCAATGAAGTTTCCTTGAGAGATAATAGAAGTGGCTTTAGGACCAACCCAATTATCCTCTAGGCTTTTTGTTAACATACCCTCTGTAGGATAAACAAAACTCCAACGTTCGACCAATTCATGATTTTAGCGGATAGATAAGAGCGTAAAGCAAGTCGGGAAAGTACGAAAGACTTATTTTATTATATACTTTACATTACCTAGATGACACGAGGGTTGTTCGTCGCACTGGAAGTTATTGTTCATTGTTACCTTTGACATTAATCATCTGCGACTTCTAATCCGATGAGGAAGCTGCTGACATTTGAGATAAGTTCAAACCACTTTCCCAAAGTAATGACGGCGAGACTATAGTTTGTGGATGACTTTTGAGTAATACTTGAGGAGCATCAGTCACTTGCTAGGGTCGAAATGTGGTTGTAAATTAATGTTTATTTTGATTCGAAACAATTATTGGCACAAAGGGACACCGAAATATGCATGCGTCACAGTGGAAATATTCTTGTGAAAAGATAGATCAAGGAATTGAGTATAACTTGAGACACCGAGGGTTAAAGCTTGGAAATTTTCCAGGATATAGTAAACGTGTGGGCTAGGGTACTTTCCAGATGCTCAAACCAAAGAAGGTAGTTTTCTTAGATAGCCATTCTCGAACTCTTGGCACAAAAGTTAAGCCCACAGGGCAGCAGAGCAATATATGTGGATGCAGTCTCAAGGTAGCAGGTGACAAGCAGTGAGTCCCTCCGCTGTTTGTCTATTGAGGTCATGGATTTGTCTAGTGTTTTTACACTCTAAGATCATCAATCTAGCATTGTTAGACCATCATTAAAAACCTGGAGGCACTGGACAGCCATTTCGTCCTGGGTTCGAATCCTGCGAGGTGCAGGAGTCGTGTATGTACACTGCTGATGAGTCCGATATCAGGACGGAACGGCCGCCCAGTGTTTCTAGGTTTCTAATGGTGATCTGACAATGGTTGATTTATGACTTCAAAGTGAACTTTCGGCAAATTTTCAGATATTTTACTCATTGTCCCATTAAAGAATGTGTTGAACGTCACTACTAAAGTGATAATCTCTTAGGGTTATATCTATTGATAGCAAGGCTAACAATATATTTCAGGGCGGTGAGAGCGAAGGGGATGGATAAGGCAGCGGTGATAGGTAACAACAGACAACTATTTTAGACTTTTCACGGAAGCCGGTATTAAAAATTTGACTGTTTGCAAAACCATCTCGGAAAACGACGGAACTCTTATCCATTCTCAATCCAGGAGATTGGATCAATGGGAAAAACAATTTGGGGCGTAGTTCGACTGGCCTTCAACCACACTTGGGCTACCCATGATTTTCAGTCAATCTGAATGGCAGGCTAATGTGAGCCACTAACTTTTAATGAGGTTCAAAAGGCTACGGACCCAGTCTGTAAGAAAGGACAAAATTCCTTTTTTGACAATCACAAAGGAATTAGTTTGAATAATAGTATCTGAAATACCAGCTTCCGTAACACTTTGGCACCTAACTAGAGCTCTTGAAGAGCAGAGTCGAATCAGTGCCTATGGCGAACTGTCATCGAAATGATTACTTCATGTGGTGTCCGTCAGAATTGTCCACCTCTACTTACATTTGACTTTGTCATCGACATGCTTTTGAAGACGACATTTTCATTGTCAGACGTTTCAGGAGTTGGCCTCTTACGAGGAGATTGATTCACTTGTTGACTGAGAATATGCAGGTGGTATAGTTCTGTTTGATGAGTATGCTGACAAAATGCAGAGTTTTCTGACCACCTCAAGTAACTGTGCAAGCGTATTCGGAATGTGATTTTCGCTGTCCAAATGCAGAATGTTGCTTCATGATTGGCTCGCATCGGCACCTGAACTGCTGATAGAGAATGAATCGGTTGAGCGTATTGACCGTTTCACTGATCTTGGGAGTCCCATCAGTGCCGATGGCCTGGTGACTGACGGGATCCGAGCACAGATACAGAAGTCTCTACTGGCTTTTGCCAACCTGCGTCACTTATGGTGTAGGCGAGATATCCATCTGCTAACCAGATGACGAGTATACTGCGCAGAGTAGTTTGCTCTGTCCTACTTTATGGCTGTGAAACATGGTCAGTCAGAGTAGAAGATATTCGTAAGTTACTGGTTTTCGGTTATCAGTGTCTTCGAAGCATTGCTTGTATATCTTGAGACAATCGAGTTGGCAATGTTGTTGTAAGGAAATGAGCACTAGGTAAGGATGGTAGACCAATCTATGAGGTTCTGAATCTTCATCATTTGAGGTGGTTGGGACATGTGTTGAGTATGCCTGACCACCAACTGCCTCAACGAGAGTTGTTTTGTGATGTAGGGGTAGACTGGATGAAGTCTATAGGCGGCCAAACCAGAGCATGTCACAAATCCATGAAGTCACTGTCGACAAGTGTACTGAGGCATGTTAGTAAGTGTAGACGACGTGACTGGGGTTGGTAAGTCTGTGGTAATCGGTGGTTAGAGTTTTTTAATGAGGTGGTTTGAAATCGTTTGCAGTGGCTTCGGTGCATCCATTCTCTGCATTTTTTCGAATTTTGATCTTGTGAATTTCCTATCACTTTTTTCATTTGATAAATTTCTACTAGATTATACTTTTTGAATAAATTCTAACTCATATCTTCTGCAATACCGCTGTAACTTCTGCATGTGGGAGTTATTTTCAATTAAATTCCTCAACATTGGTGCAACGGGGCGCCTAACCATATATGGCTCACGGAAATGTTTCGTAATATCTAAAATAATCTGTTAATTAATTTTTGAATATGCAAACCAGTAAGATTTATCTCCTTTGAGTTTCTGTACAACTTATTTTCGACTCTGATTAACTGTTATTGTTTTTTCTTTTGCTTGTGTTTGCTCTTGGTTGAAGTGTTGGTTGAAACTTTCTTTTTTTTAGGGTTCAGAAACTAGTTATCATCTTTCTCAAATGAAAAGGTCTTTGCCATTCTCACGCTCCAAACTGAACAGGTCTAAGAATCATTTTGTCTCATGGGCTGTGAAACAAAAACAGAAAAGTAATTGTCTGTACTGTCAATGTTTTTTCCCTAGAATTCAATCACGCTCTATCAGCGAACAGTTCAAATGTTCCTCTTAACTGTCCTCTAGTTGGATGCTCTGGAATCGGTCATATTAACGGTCAAGATACTGCACACGTAACCCTATATGGATGTCCCTTATATCACAATATGAGTTTCGATAAATGGGCGGAGATGCGTGCTCGCGAAGAAGGTTTCGTTGTTCCAGAATCCATTAGGGGAATTTCTCAAACTTCATACTCGCCTTCTAAATTTAAACACAGGATTGACCGTTCACATCAGTTTAAGACTACACAGAGAGAACCTATGCTTGATGATTTAGCTAGTCAGGTAGAGTTGTATCAATTTCGTCGTGCTCAACAGAGACTGGTTTCAACACATGTAAGCAAATTCACTTATTTCATTTGATTTTAGTTGTTTATTTTCAACCCAAAGAATCTTTTCCAGTATCTTATCACTTTTATTCCGTTTTTAGCGTTTATTTTTATTATCTTTGAAACTTTCAAAGTTTTGTTTGTCGGGTATTCTTTTTCCTTATTTTGTAATAATTAACCTGAAAAATAATTTAGTCTCCGATTAAGCGATTATAAAATTTGATTTGTTTAAATAATCGTTTAGACCTGTATTGATCTTAAAGTATTGTATTAGAGTGTAATAAGCAGTGAGTCTCGTTTTCGTCATGGCTTATATCCGAATTTCAGTTCTTGGTCATAATTTTGTAATACCACTCAAACATCCGAAAATACAAATAATTTTAATGGATAATAGCTTTCAGTCCTACAGATTGAATACTTTTGGCTTGAAGATAACTTTTTACTCCTTTATTTAGCAGAAGTTTATGCGTAGCAAATATGGTAGTCCACTACCTATCTGCTGGTTTCCAATATTTTAAATTTGAAAGCCATAGATTGCCAAGAGAAAGAATCGAAATCAACTTATACAGCCATTAGCTGGTGTTGTGAGCTTACGCTTATTGACTTCGGGCTGAAGGATCGTAGGAAATGTCAAAGGTCAACCATAAGTGCAGATAACTATTCCTTATGTTAGCTTTAATATATTTCCTCTCTCGTTATTGTTATTTCGTCGACTGACAGGGCAATGTCGTTGAGTATGCAGTTATCCGACTTACGTTATTTGTTTTCGTTTGAAATCTTGTTTGTATTTTAAGAAATATTTTAGAAGTCTGTTTTTATTGTCTATTTTCAATTTTTTTCCACATTCTAGGAGACGGACGCACGGGAACATCTACTTTTATGTGCGCGAGTAGCTTTGAATTCAGGAAATCTACCCAATAATGGTAGTTTGTAATTTCATATCAAACTATTTAAGATTAAGCATTTTCTGAAAATATTGAGTTCGCTACAGAACAGCGAATACATTCTGTTATTTTTGGAACCTGGGATTTACAACCATGGTATCAAAGTAATTATCCAGCCGATTTGAGTTGTCTACCTACTATATACATTTGTGAATTTTGTCTGACTGGAATGCGTCATAAGGTTGCTTATGATCGTCATAAAGTAAGCATGTTCTTTAAATCACTCTTGTTTATTCATCTCTGAGTTATCATTTCATAATCTCCTTTCTTTATATCACTAATAATTTTGTCCACGTAATACTTTCTGTATAGCAATCGAAGTCATCTTTAGTTTTCATGGATTAGTATGATTCTATTGATTTTTGTCGGTAAAAGTATTTGATGATTTAGTTTGAACTTGGAAGGTGTTAACATTTTTAGTGGCTGCGTTGGATTCGAAATAGAACTCATCACTTTGGTGGCCCGCTATCTGACTCCGATGCTTATGAACAGTTAAATATGCTCTGATATAAATCTTCCCTTGCATTTCTGTATATCATACCTGAGCGAATCTTGTTTATGCGATGGCGGTAATAAGAAGTCAAATACGGATTTGGTTGCATGAATTTGTTTCGGACAATCTTTTATGCAGACAGATATGAGAACAAAAAGCCTACAAGCAAAGTGGAGACGGCGAGTGAGCCAACTCAGTGCATTGGGGAATGTATAAGCCTTTATATTCAGACAAAAATAAGCTAGATATGCGATAAGTGAAATAAGGAGTGTATACACACTCAAATAAAAACGACCATGATATGAACAAATAATTGAAAAGGTTGAAAGACGAGTAAATAATAACCCGGAAAGGATCGATTGACTAGATTGTCCAAAGGCTGAGTCAGGCCATATAGGATCGATGTAGAAGTACACACACTACACATTTAATTACATCAATAGAGGATTTTGGTTTGAATTTAAGTAGCACCATGAATTTTCGTAGGTTTTTAACGATGTTCAAACGTCATCAAGTTATCCTGGGTGCTGGGTTTGACTCTCGGAGTGAAAATAAACTCCGAGATGCACGTACATCCATCTGATGAGCTCCAAATAGGATGAAACGCGCTTCCTGGATTCCGCCGCTAGCCACATCCCATCTCTCCTGTAATAAACCTGTGTCACAAAAACAGTCCGCATATGATGCCCATATGCTAACCAAGGCTGACCGAATTTTAGTCAAAACATCTAGAATGGGATAATCGAACAACGTTTCAAATTAGTGCAACTAATTTATAGTTTTTGTACTTACCATTAGTGACGGGATAAAACTGACTGTCAATTTCTTTATTAATGTGAGCCTTTTTCTCTTACTTCTTTGTATTTGTTGCCTAAGTACACACTATGCTTCTACCCCTTTTTATATGGAAATATGTTTTACTGACATGTTGTTTGCTACCTACCGATTTCGTGGATGTTACTCACAAGGTAGCATATAAGTATTATGCAGCGGAGCGTCGCTCAAGTTGCTGCCAGAGAGAGAGGGAGAGTAGTGTCTAAAAATCGAAATTCATGGCGCGATCTGAGGATATTGAAGGCCGGGTGGGATGTGAGAGAAGATAATCAATAACCTGCTTGTATTGTAAATGCATATTTGAAGATTATATTTACATATTATGTAAATAAACTATCTTCTCCAAATATACATATTCCATCTGGTCTTGATTTCCTTGTACGGTAAACCAATACTCTAAGTAACAGGTCAGTTACGTTATAGGTAACCATATTCACATGGCTATTGTGAAAGCGCAACAAAACGAATTTTGTGATTTGCTATTTGTGTTTTTCTTGATAATCCATTTTTTGATGAATCTGTATTACATACCAAATTATATTGGATATTTAATTGCTGAGTATTTTTTTCTGTATAGGTTAAATTAGAGACAAACTAGACACTAATCTTTTATTTTAAGGCTAACGTTCTTTTCAAAGTTTATTCAATAATTACACAAACGGAGGTACTAAGGTTTTGGATGAAACTTTGCGAAATCTCAAAAATTCATAGAATGTTGAAGGGTTTTTTATTGAAATAGTTCATTGGGGAAAACAGCTTTTCCACATCGATCAAGCGTTTCAGCATGGACCTTGAAAACTTCAAAGATGATACACGTCTAGGATAATCGTCAACCTGAGCTTCAAACCTACAGTCCTTTTTATTTTCCCACTAGGAAGTCAGTTGTCCAGCTGGTCGATAATTGAATTTTGTCCTGTCTCTTTATACGATTGTAACAAAACATGAAGTGAAGAAGTGATTGAAGAGTCTAACTTCTGATGTATTATACGAATGTTTCAAACCACAGAAGCGTAGATGAAGCAAGTTCATACTGAGATACCTTAATATTTATGAGATCTATCCACGTATTTATTGAGTTGAGTAATTCATTAGTTAGCGGAATACTCAAACACTAATTCAAACGTTCCAGTCCTAATTTCATTAGGAAATTACGATGTTAAATTAGTTATTGTTCCTCGTTATACATACAAGTCGATTTTCAGGTCATAGCTATTTCAAAAATTCTAAAAATTATTCATATTCCGAAATACTAAATTATATCGTCGTGTTTTCACCACTGAAATGAACGTTTGTTGATAATATCCTTAGTGACAAGTTACATATGAGGTTGTAGGTGTGTGTATACTAATAAGTCACAAATTACGCATAAAAAGTTTTTCACAATGATAATACGGTTTTCAATAAGTCTCTAGCTGATATCCCTATGTATTGAAGCTGCCTTTAACCAGTAAAAACCATCCTAGTAATCTTATTCCACGAAATGATTCTTCTAAATTTTCTACGACCACTGATACTTTTACTATTTCTGACACTGATCATTTTATTTTTCCTTACTACTACAAGGTGATTCGGCTACTTGAATCGACGCACATATACACGAAGTCTTAGGTTTTTTATGACTGATTTACTACTGACCATTAATCCTACTCACTGTATATATCAGACTCTTGTATCCCTTCCCTCATTTGTACCCACTGTTTGTCTGCTTCAATAAATTCAGATTAGAATAATTGTTTTTATTTCTTTGTTGTTAATCTGTTATTTATTTATTATTGTTACAATAATAATAATTATTATTATTATTATTAATGCCATAATTACAGATAAATTGCAGTCGAACGTTTCCTCCAGGTAATGAAATATATCGTAAAGAGAGTTTATCGTTTTTTGAAATCGATGGACAAAAGCACCAGGTAAGTTTATTTAAGAGAATCATTTTCTTGTTAAAATTATCATGGGTTGATTCGACCCTTACAAATATGTACATTTCAAATAAAATGAATCCCTATCGTACAAGCCAGTGGCTGTCATCTGCACTGATTAGCGGAGTGAATAAGGCGTTTGAAGTGAAAGGCACTGAGTTCGAGTTCTGGAATAAACGTCAGCATTAATATGTAAGTCCACTCAGGTGACGAGTCCCAAATAAGATGGGACAAGCGTCCCGAATTCTATTACTAGCTGGTATCCAACTTAGCTTAGAAATGCTTATAACATGATGACGGTATAGAGGGAATCCTCTTAGTGTGGATATACGCCACAAGAAAATGATTAATTTCAGTTTTCAGTCTCAACTATGGGAATATTCGGTTCCAAATTTCAGCAAGCAGGTGTTTGTAGCCTTGCTTACTTAAAGTAAATGTTACTTAATTTTCACATTCTATTAGGTTGCATTGGTCTGTTACATTGGCGTCAGTATGAAGTCATTGTAAGTCGTCAGTATGAATAAAAAACATTTATTAATGATTTGGGATATTCTTTTTATTGATGTAAAAAATTGACTACACCAGTGTCCGTATTATGCTGTAAAAATATTACAATGAATGCTTTAAATTAGCACGACATTCTATCTATCTTTCTATCCATTTTATTTAATCTAATCTAATATTTCTTGATAACTAGCACAGTTTGAAAAGATTGCTCGATTTATTCGGTAACTTAATGATAAATTTCTACTATAATTGTTAAACTTTTTTGCAGGAATATTGTCGAAATTTATGTTTGCTAGCCAAATTGTTTTTGAAACAAAAAACAGTTCATGAATTAGATCAAGTTCCAGCATTTTTATTTTATGTATTAACTGAAACAGACCAAGACGGCTCACATATTATTGGTTATTTCTCTAAGGTAAGTAAAATATACTTTTATAAGTTTTTGATGTTGAGTTTTATGGGTTAGATAGTTGAACTGCGTGGCTTTCACCATTCCGCAAAGCTTTTCCAGTTACTACCTCATGTAAATAAGTCTCATTGTATATCTATTTATTCTTTTGTACTGGTTTTGCGAATCATGCATCAAGATTAAAAAATTTTTTGATCGTTTAATCATCTTAAAGTTTCGAAGGTTTCACATAATAACTCTTCCACGTATTCGGGGAAACCAAACATAGACAAAAGTTTTCTACAACAGAAGTGTACATTTCGCGCTCATAATAGCAGCTATTAAAAACTGACCAGACTGTAGTTGCTACCCTGACGTGTTGGTCGGGCTTGCCTATATTGATGATCTGACCGAGCTATATTGGCTGGAACTCCCGTTCCTTTGGGTCCTGTCATGTTAGGCAGGTCGATTAGAGAACGGTTAGACTAAAAGCAGTAACTCAAGGTCTGATGGCGAAGTCGTACGGCTGACTGTAGGGGGATGTGAAAGCAGTAGGATGTTTCCCTGGAACAACCAGCATCTGCAACGATGCTGCCTTCTCACAACTGAGGGGAAGGGTTAGAAAAGGTGGACCCTAAAAATGTCACACCTTATATTACCATACGAATTTCCGTTTCCTGTGGTTGGGCATTTTGAAGAGCGGAGCCAACACTTGTAAAACGTCCCATAATGAGACCGTGCGCGACCGACTTTAGGCAGTTGGTTCTTGGGTTCTGCGGTGACGCTCTCAAATCACTAAGACCAACAATATCCCAGCTTCCTTTTCAGGTCCCTCAATAATAAATACCCTTCCATGATGTGGGCGACCGTGAAGTGACATCCACCCTCATATATCTAACAGTACACGAGATCAACTCTCAAATCCTAATCTTCTGGATTCGTCAGCACCTCTACCTTTGTCTTTCTAACCTTATCTCACTGAATTATACTTCTTGAATAATATCTTCGAACCCTAGTCCTCTTCATTACCATTAATACTCCTACTATCTTTATCACTATGGGATTTGATTCGACATTTACGTCTCTGTGCTAATGTGGTATGGTAACATGAACTTATGTACATACGTACGAAGTTCTTACGTTGCAACTGACTGTCTGACACGAGATCAACTCACCCACAACTAAGTCCTTTTTCCAACTCTCAATAATTCTGGTTCCACGAATGACCATCGTATAGCTTTATCAGCTTGCGCCGCTAATGCTAACGATTTGTGTACACTGGTGTTTATTCCTGGTCTCCTGAAGCCCCTCTCTAAACTACATGTTGCCGTCTTTAGTGTTTAGATCCTGTGGCATATAGGACAACAAGCTTCCTTAGCAAGGATTTTAGAATCTCGCGCTACTGATGTTTGTTGTGTCTCCGAAACGCACATATAGGATCCGAGTAGAGTAATTCATCCCACCCCACCTTGTCATCGGAATGAACCGTCACAATTTGCACTGCTGCCTCCTGTGATCTCGCTGGTGTATGTAACCATTAAGTTCTAAAGCAGAACTAGCTCTCTTAGACTGGATTCCAGTAGACAGTCGCTTGCGCATTGCCTCTTCGTCGCGTCTGCCTACGCTCTAGCTGACTGCAGCTCAGGCGAGGTGAAAGATAAGTTTTACAGAAAGCCTTCGGACTTCCAAAATGTTAGGCGTTCTGATGTAGTTATAGTGGCTGGTGACTTCATTGCTCAAGTAGGTAGGGTAAGTGAAAAAGGAAAGACACGGGTGAATCTTATGGTGTCGTGGCTCAAAGAAACGATAATACCAACCGTCTGTTGCAGCTATACTCAGATAACCGCCTATTTCTAGCAAGTACTCTCTTTGAACACAAGGGAAAACATCTTTTGACATGGCAACCCCCAAAGCCGTCCCAACTCAGGACGCAACTGGCTCAAATCGCCATCAGTCATCGATAGAAGACTGTTGCACGTTCTGGAGCACATGTTTAGATTCAGATCATGCTCTAGTGCGAGCGTGTATTTGTCTGCGTTTGATTGTGCGCAGGAAAGACGCTAGAAGGAAACCTATCAGGGTTCTACTTAATGATAGCAAAGCTAAGAATATATTTCAGGAACAACTAGAAAAACACTTAGGCAGCCTTTTAAGTAATGCCCACCCCAAGATAGCTTAGTATGGTATCAAAAAAGCTGTAGAAACATCAGTGATATCTGCTAGTTAGGTAAACTATAGGGTTAAGGATAAGCCGTTTATCTCAGTAGCCTCTACTCAACTGGTAGATGTCTGACTGTCTGACTGGTCTCAATCTCTGATTGTCCCAGTCTACAAATAAGGATAAAAGTCCTATTGTGACAATCACAAATGAATCGACTTAGCTAATACAGTGTCTAAAATGTAAGCCTCGACAATATTTTGACGCTTAAATAGGGCTCGGGAAGAGCGAACTCGAAAAATAAAGCTGGTTTCAAACTGGACTTTAAGGCGACATTTGACTCTTTATCGTGCGGTTTAGTGGCATCGTCTATCATTGCAGGTTGTACCAAAGTACTTTAACCTTGTACAAACTCTCTACTCATACACTACTGGTCGAGTCAGAGCTTATGGTGAACAGTAATCGAAATGATTACTTCATGTGGTGTCCGTCAGAATTGTCCACCTCTACTTACATTTGACTTTGTCATCGACATGCTTTTGAAGACGACATTTTCATTGTCAGACGTTTCAGGAGTTGGCCTCTTACGAGGAGATTGATTCACTTGTTGACTGAGAATATGCAGGTGGTATAGTTCTGTTTGATGAGTATGCTGACAAAATGCAGAGTTTTCTGACCACCTCAAGTAACTGTGCAAGCGTATTCGGAATGTGATTTTCGCTGTCCAAATGCAGAATGTTGCTTCATGATTGGCTCGCATCGGCACCTGAACTGCTGATAGAGAATGAATCGGTTGAGCGTATTGACCGTTTCACTGATCTTGGGAGTCCCATCAGTGCCGATGGCCTGGTGACTGACGGAATCCGAGCACAGATACAGAAGTCTCTACTGGCTTTTGCCAACCTGCGTCACTTATGGTGTAGGCGAGATATCCATCTGCTAACCAGATGACGAGTATACTGCGCAGAGTAGTTTGCTCTATCCTACTTTATGGCTGTGAAACATGGTCAGTCAGAGTAGAAGATATTCGTAAGTTACTGGTTTTCGGTTATCGGTGTCTTCGAAGCATTGCTTGTATATCTTGAGACAATCGAGTTGGCAATGTTGTTGTAAGGAAATGAGTACTAGGTAAGGATGGTAGACCAATCTATGAGGTTCTGAATCTTCATCATTTGAGGTGGTTGGGACATGTGTTGAGTATGCCTGACCACCAACTGCCTCAACGAGAGTTGTTTCGTGATGTAGGGGTAGACTGGATGAAGTCTACAGGCGGCCAAACCAGAGCATGTCACAAATCCATGAAGTCACTGTCGACAAGTGTACTGAGGCATGTTAGTAAGTGTAGACGACGTGACTGGGGTTGGTAAGTCTGTGGTAATCGGTGGTTAGAGTTTTTTAATGAGGTGGTTTGAAATCGTTTGCAGTGGCTTCGGTGCATCCATTCTCTGCATTTTTTCGAATTTTGATCTTGTGAATTTCCTATCACTTTTTTCATTTGATAAATTTCTTTCACTGGATTATGCGTTTTGATTAAGTTCTGACCCATGTCTTCGCGATAACCGCTGTTACTTTTACTACCTCTGCCTCTATGGGTATTGAACTGACATATGCATCTCGCTGTGCTAATGTGATATGGCACCCTGAACTGATGTACCTACATACGACGTTCCTTGTTGTCTCTTACTAATTTTCTACTGAATGGCTGTCCAAACAGAAAATCACTGAAAATTTTCGCTTTATTTGGTGCTCATCGATTATTTCTATATATTTTTAAGAGTCATTTACTACGAGCGTGAGTTTCATAAGAGTGTATCAGACGTCGCGTGTTTGGTTTATCAACGTTAAAAATTCTCTTTCTACTTTTTAGTATGAAAGTTTAAGGAAATATTACATTGCTCAACATACAGTTGATTTTAAATAAGCGTTACTTTTTCTCTGTAGTTTACTTTGTAGTTTCTTTTTGTTAATAAATATTAGATGACCTCGTTTATTTGGTTTTTTTCACCTCAGGTTTCGGCATAAACATAATCGCTTGCTTTTTTTTGAGCATAATATAATGATTTCTAATTGACTGTAGTATATATTTTCGTTGGCGTCTTCGAAATATATTAAGACACCATTGATGTGTAGTTAAATTAGTAATGTAGGAATGTCGGTCTAATAATAGAGCTGAGATCTTTATTGACTTATACTTTACGCTTCTTCCAAAAAGTATTTTTAAGGTGGGTTCAATCAAGGGTACTGTTTTGAACGACAATAATCGTAGTTTGTTCATGTTAAATTTATGACTTTTAAATGTTTGTTTAGACAAATTTACTATCATGTGAAGATTATTAGATGAATTTCCATCCTTCTAAAATTCAATGTATATTAGAATAATTGTTTGAACTTCATTATGGATTGTTGTTTTAAGGATTCATATTAATATCTTTTCTCTATATTTAAATTATCATTATGAATTATCTTCATACTTTTTTTGTTCAGCAAAAGGCTGACGATCAATGTGACAACTTAGTGAATACTGTGTATAATAATCTTTCATGTATCCTCATTTTACCACCTTATCAATGTCGTGGTTTCGGTCGTATGCTCATCGAAATGAGTAAGTGTATATTGAAAATTTATTTAAAGTGCTAGGCAAAATACTTTAGTACATTATTGAATTTTTTATATTCGACTTTATATATATTTTAATCTGACTTTTTTTATAATCTTGGAGAGCTGAAGGACTAACTCGTGGTTCCAAGGGGCAGCTATTCAATGTCGATCGTAAATGGCGTTTTTGTTGGTAGTTATTAGAGTGTCCGTTCCTTACTTTAAAGGCAATGGAATTCCCATCCTTCCATTGTGAAAGACTAGCTTTGCTTGAGATACTGGTTGTGTGAAGGAAACATCTTACTGTCGTCATACCTTAATACGGTCAGCAGTATGACGTTTACCTCAAACTTTAAATTCCTGATTTCAGTCTCACTATTCTCCAATAAATTTGCGTACCATGGTAAAACCTGAAAGGGATAAGTGCTGTAACCAGTATAACTCAATTGGTTCGTAAAAATGAGTGAATCCAACGATCACATCAAGGTGGTGGTTACAGTCGGGTATTTTATAATAGATTAATTTCATATTTGTTAGTTAGGATTTGAGTAATAATAGCAAAATGTATGTTAAAATGCTTTCCTTTGATTTTCGCTTAATCTTCATATTTTTACTGACTGCTAGTTAAAAAATGTAATTAATTTTGTTTTTAAAAAACAACTATTTTTAATTTTCAAGGTTATGTTCTAAGTCGATTAGAACAACGTATTGGTACACCAGAACGTCCGTTATCAGATCTGGGGATTATTATTTACAGAAGATATTGGCGTTTTGAAATTTTAAAATACTTATCGTCATTCACAGCTAAATCAATTAATATTCGAAGTGATTATAAGTTATTATTATTTTTTTTTATCAAAAATGTTTATTCTTTTCAATTCCTAACTTTTCAGTTTGGAATCAAAACAGCAATTAGTTGTGTGTAGGAGTTTACTTATCGATTAGACTAATTTTCAAACGGGTATTATGTTGACCATTTTGCCACTACATTATAAATGATGGTTTTGAATGTATATTGACTTAAGAAGTTGATTATTCTGTTGTTGTCTAACAAATTGGAAATTTAGTTTTTTGTTCCATAATATCCTCCTTCGTTCTACGTTTAAGTTGGATTTGAAGAAATACTGTTGAGATATTCGTATGAAGTCTCGTATCATTGTACTTGTTATATTCTTTTCTACATCTTTAACAACAAATTTATTGTCTGTTTTGCTGGTTACCTACGTAAATTGTTAAGCCTCCTAATGTCGAATAAATATGTTAGCAAAATCAAACGAATATTGCTTAACAGTACCTTTTGCCTTACTGACTCGGAACTAGCCTGATGGCGTAATGAAAATGTACAATACTACAAAAATGGTTTACAATTAGGACTGTGCAAAATTTATCGCGATCTTAACACAAAACGAAGGTCCAGAGTTTCCTGTCGACTACTTCCAATCACTAAACATTCCATAAAATAATTTCATATAGAAAAAAAGGCTGTAAAAGGCAGTAGAACCCAGGAAGTGCTTTTTGTCCTATTTGGCGATCGTCAATCGGAAGTACCTGCATCCCAGAGTTGATATTCACTGTGGGATTCGGACCTAGTACTTTCTATTTTCAATGCTATCGCGTTATTCATCTACCAACTCAGTCAACATACCCGTTACTTTGTGCAATAGCTATTATTTTTAGTTTAATTTGTAATTGTTTGGATTTTCCCTTTGTCGATATATTTACTGAAATTTGATCTGTCCCGGAGTGAACATAACTATAGAATGCAGGCACATCCGGTTGAGGAGTCTCGAAAAGGAAATTTGCATTCCGGGTTCCTCTGCTATCTGCATTCCGTCTATTCTTTATAAACTCATCACAATGTCTATCAGTCAGTCAGTTACAACGTAGGACTTCGTACGTACGTACATACGTCAGTTCATGTTGTCATACCACATCGGCACAGAGACGCAATTGTTACTTCAAATCCCATAGTAGTAGATGTAGTAGACATATTAGCAGTGAGTCGTGGAGATAAGAGAGATGTTAAGGGATGTGGATAGGATTTGATTGTGACCGATTCGGTCTCGTGTGCTGTTACGAGTTTGAGGGCGGATATCACTTACCTGTTGCCCACACCGTCGAAGATCACAATGTCTATATAGGGAGGGAATCCGCACAGAATGCACTTGTGCCAATGAAGGCTGATCAAATTTCGGTCACTATGACCTAAGAAGATAGTTAAAATCATCACAAACTAAATCATAGTTTACTATCATTATTGAAACACACGTTGTTACAAATAGGACATCTAAATATTTATGCATCATTTAAGTTATTGAATTTGTGTGATATACTTACCGGACGCCCAAACAGAAGCAGGTAGTTTTCTTTGGCAGCCGCACCTGAGCCATTGACCTATAATTTTTACCCTCAAGTTAGTGGATCAATGCAAGGGAATACAGTCTCATGGTAGCAGGTTATCAGCAGTATGTTCATACACTGTTAATCTCTTGTGGATCATTTAGCCTATGTGCACTATTGTTTGGTAATCATGGTTTTGCAACTTCCTTAAGTGGATCCTCCATACTTACCAACTCGACTGGGGAAGTGGGTATTTGTTTTTCATCCTCTAAATTTCGCAAACAACTCCACCACCACAAGAACTGAATGAATGCGAATCCTCTGTCAGTAGCTATATATACTCGTGGTCATATAAGAGCATTTCCAGAAAACGGGAGTAGACACTCCCCGCTCTCGAGCATACCAGGGCATTCGGGGTATAGATCATAGCATAACTGTCTAATAAGTATTTGTTTCAAAAGAATATGCGAGTTAATTCATCACCGTGGAATAGCTGTTCGAATTTCGTGTTCCATTTTCCTCGCGGCTATTCCATTCATTATATACTGCTGTATTTTTCTCACGTTGTATGTTGAATGTCAACCGAAACATTTCAATTCACTTGATTTAATATGGTAAATAGTCTGTGTAATACGCAGTTATTTTACTAAGAGCGATTATTATTTTGTTTTGTGTCACTTACATAAGGCAATTTTCATATTGACAGTTACGAAGTTTGTGTGATTTTGCATTATTTTATGTCTATCCATAAACCGTATTTAGATACGAGAACATGTTTATTATGGAGGTTGGTTACTTCATTGAGCTGTCGAAATTTGTAGTTGAAATTCATACGGCGGTAATTTTATGCTAAACTTCAATGATTTGTCATTATGTGTCTACTCGATTTTAACGAAGCCTAGTTAACCTTATGTAACGTCCAGAAATTCACGAAATTTACATTGTACGACAGTTGCATTCATCAGACTGACTCCTAGTTGACATAAAGATAGGTGTGAAATTTAGCCTAATTGTATGAATGAGAAAGTACTTGAAAAACCGTGAGCAAACAAAACTACATACTCTAAAGTTGCATGTTTCTTGGTTCGATTCATGCTTGCGGGACCTTAGATGCGCGCTGATAAACAATCTCATACTAGGACGAAACGGCCGTTCAGTGCTTCCAAGTTTTCTATGATGCTCTACAAACCCCCTATACATCAGTATTATTTTGCTGTGTTTTAACTAACGGACAATTTATTGTTACACATATTAATCTTAAATAATTCTGGATTAGTAAATTCTACATACTCTCTCTTTTTTGGGACTGTGAATAAGTTGGTTAATTAAAAATATCGTATAAATAATACCTTGTTAATTCGGTTTTTTATAAGTTGCATTCATGACGGATTGATCCCATATGGGATAAAATTGAAAACTAGGATATATTAAACAGTTTCTTCGCCCTAGTATATGGAACTCCTTATAATTGTATGCACACAACCCTTCTAGGAATGAAAATCTAAGACACTCAGATCTGTTAGATCAATGTGTGATGAATAAAACATACAAACCACACCAATTTCCACAAGATTCCTTCAACTAATCTATTGGGAAATTATTATTCTGACAAATTATTATTATTATTATTATTATTATTATTATTATGGTAAATTCGCCTCTCTCTTTTCAGCTATGAGTCAAGAGTTAGGAATAGCAGTTCCTGATATTGTAAGCACCTTATTAGACATGAAAATGCTTGTTTGCTATCGGACACAATATTATATAGTCAATAATAAGGTGAGTTTTTCACCAGTTTTGTTTCTGGTATTTTGTATGTTTAAACCGTGCAGTAATAATCAGTCAGTCAGTTAGCCAAACGTGAGATTAAACATAGCACTTATGTACATCGTTTCAAGTTGATATGCTCGATTAACGTAACGTAATATAATTGTCAGGAAATATCTCAGAGTAGTAGAGGTCGGGGCAGAAAAGGTTAGGCGTCGAAGATACGATTCCAAAACATATAAATTGGTGCAATTAGCAAAATTTATAAGGAATGTATAATTTTAGGAGCTATGAGAAGAAAAGGAATGCATCTGCCATTAAAAGTTCAATCATTGGTTACAACAATCACGCATACACCAACCTGGTAGTCTGGACTTACCTATGTGGATCAGTTGTAGTAGTCAATGTATTCGGGTATCTTCCTTTTTAAAAGCAGAAACGTACCTATATCTAATGTTTCTATTTAAATGTTAGCTACTTACATGAATATAACAACGACAAGCTAATTGGAATTGGGAAAATAACTTTTTGGTTTTTGTGTGAACTTTAGAATTGAGTAACTTCTATCTTATATCAAGTAAGATAAGCAACACTTTGTATAGCATTCAAAAAGTTTAAAATGATGGCAAATTATAATATAAATATAAATATATATAAATATAATATAAATCCAACGCATAGCCTATGTGGTACAGGGAATGTAGAAACATAATTAATCTAATTTTTCCGTTAGTACATTATTATGTATTTAATATTTTATTAATTCTCCGTGAAATAATTCTGAAATTTATCACTTTCTTCATTTATGTTTCAGTTATATTAATGCCATTACCTATTCTTCTTTTCCTTATTCACTATTTCTGTTGAATCATTCTAGTTTTCTTTCGTATTCCTCTTCCATTAGAATAAAAAAAGATGACAGTTTGAATTGGTACAATTTTATTTGAATATGAAAAGATATGTTCACCTAATATCTCATTTTCTCTGGCTATTACTTTTGTAACTTTTATCTTTCAAGAGATGATTCCTAGATTTCAATGTTCACGGACAGAAATTCGGCATGGATTCATTATTCATGTAGAAATATATATTATCAGGTTCATAGATGTTTAGTTTATCGTGATTTCCTAAGGCTGATTATCATTCATTTCTAGGTGAACGGTTAAGGAATGAGGATTTTTGATATTAGAACTGTCTTATTCACTTGACGGTTTGCATCATCTCTGATGATATTTTACAGACAACACCTGATTACACGATATGCATCTCCGTTCTAAATTAAAAAGTATTAGCTGTGGAATCCTGACTTAGTGTGTGGTATTGCAATATACTCTCTAAGAGTACTAAAGGTTGTAGATCTCATTCTATATGAGTTTGTACTTGTTGTGGAATCACTGACTGTAATAAATCAGTTTTCATTGTTGTATTTGTATTGGTTGTTTGGATCTTCTCAGTGATGTTTAGGACTGCAACTGATCAATCCTTTGGCGTATGTACATCCTTTGAGGATTGCCTCGATGTAGCCATTAATTCGGTGAATGGGAAGATTCGGACAACCAATATAAATAAATTAATCTTCACCCCACTGTACAAGCGAGTACCTATCTAGGTTCAGTCGCTAAGTGAATGATTCGATGGCGTTTGAGGCGGAAGACACTGGAATTCGAGTCTAGGGGAAAATTATTTCACTCATTCAGTAGGTACGTTGGTGTATTGGCTAGTGACCGCAGCAGTTTAAGCGGAGTTCGCACATGGAAACTGTGGGCCAACAGTTTTGCCTCTTAACCATTAAACCATAACATAGATCTGTAGTTTTCAAATTTACGTTTGCTGATTACTAATTGAATTTCGTTTATGTTATTATTGTTTTGTTGTAACTGAATGACTGAGTGACTGAATTTGTTGTAATTATTTTTATATTTTACCTTGTATCATAAATTCAATGACAATGGATTATTTTAATAATATAATTTGTATATTATTCTCTATAATTTTTATAGCCCGATGTCGATGCCCTATTGAGTACTATTAAATTACCTGCTACTGATCGTTGTATTGATTCTACATGTCTTCATTGGACTCCTAATATTAGTTGTAATAATAAATCAAGTAAATCACCGAGTAGTACTCTTAATGCCAGTGCTACTATTAATCAAAAGCTTCTTCATAAATCTAATCTCACTTCACCGAATGATTCGATTGGAGCAAATGTTTGAAATTTTTTGTAATCTGATTTTACTGTACATTGATTGAGATATTGTAACGATTTTTATTGTAAATAATTTAATAAAGGCACTTTTTATAAAATAAATATGTATTACTTATTTTCTACTCAGTCTTTTGCTTAGGTTTTAAATGTAAATTTGAGACGATAAAAAAAATCCTACTGTTATGTTACTATCCTCCATGTTCGGATTCTGACACCACCTACGCACTCTACTCATACGTTTGCTCGACTATCAACTAAAGTAGGAAGACTGATAATTATGTAGGAAGCTCTAGTTCACAAACCGAATTAAGTACAAACGAACCCATAGATTTGTATATATTTGACCCAAACATTGACTTAGGGGCCTGATCAACAACATCTAAAAGTGCGCCTCGTTTGTAATGTCCGATTTAACGTTTGACCTTATGATAGGATATAAACACAGACACTACATACTAACTTGGAGAAGATAGGAGTAAACATTGCTCGCAGTAAATTTGCTGTTGATGAGCAAACAGAAGACCTTAAGTTCCATTTTATGAATTATGTTACAAGGATTACAAAACAAAGATCAGAGAAAAAACTTATCCAAATTCTCAAAAGCCTAGAAAATCAACCATTTGGAAATAATTTCCGACTAAACGCGAAAGATATGTTCCGGTGCTGAATTAAATCAAGAAAAACTTGAAGTATTAGCACTAGCTCTTAAATTTTATGACACACGCAACCGTACATCCGATCCGCAAAACAAAATTCGTCAGACATGAGATCTAGTTCTAACCTCCAATCAAGAGCTTTAACGCTTCAAATCGAATTTAGTTGGTTGCTCCTATCGGTTTAAAAACAGTAGATATAATTACAGAAGCATTTTGACTAAAAAACAAGGGCATTATCAGTGAACTTAATAATGACGAAAACTTGATTACTGCAAAACGGGGATAGAGGTTTAAGAACTGTCCTACCCAAGAAACAAAACTATTTCAACAAGATGAATAGCATTTTGACTAGTCATCTAAAATTTTAAAAAATGTCAATCCTAAAATAGAGAATAAACCTATCACATCTTTAAAAATTGCTTAGAGATCAACAGGTAATTCCATCAAACATGTAGGAGACAATTACGCCAATAGGGACTCATTTACCATGATTATACGCATTACCGAAGGTACACAACGCGGACATTCCATTGAGATCGATTCTGGAATTATAGGATCCGCCTTATCATGCTGTAGCAAAAACGTTAGTAACCATTTCAAAGACGCTCCACAAACACACATAGTAAGGCATAGCAACTACTCCAATCCGCTATTTGGTAGACCTTGTAGTCGAATAAGGCGAATTAGTTTATTGTTGGGTCAGATTATTGTTTCACGATTATATCATCTGTTGTGACTCAAAATTTTGATCAATGTAACGTGTTATATTGTTTAGTCATCTTTTAGATCACCTATACCACCACCAGTAGGATCGGTAACCTTGTAGTTCACGAATCGGCACACCGACCAATGAATATCCCCAAGACCTTAACACTTCTTAGTCCTCGTGCTCCTAATCCAGAAGTCAGTCTGATAACCCGAACAGAAAATCTAGTGGTTCTCTATCACGTTTATTTAGAAGTCAAGGCGCATATGGTAATATACTTGAAATCCCTGACCACACAACACAAGATAAAGAAATAATATTTTATAAATAATCATACCATAAGTAGTAGAGGGCGGAATAAGCAGTAAATAATTAATTAACGATAATCAAAGATTGGTAAAACGTATACTGACAGTTAATTGGTCCACTGAAAGATTATTATAGAAATGCAGTCAGTCAGTCAGTTACAACGCAGGACTTCGTACATGATCGCATAAGTTCAGGTTGCCGTACCACATCAGCACAGAGACACAATAGTGGTAGAGATACTAGAATTATTGGCGGCAATTAAGAAGATCGGGGTTTCGAGACATTTTTCAAGAAGTATAATCTAGTGAGATAAAGTTAGAAGGAGGAAGGTGGAGGTGATAGAAATTCAGAAGATTAGAATTTCATAGATTACAACAAATGGATGCACCTGCGCAATTGTAAACGGTTTTGAACCATGTCGTTCAAGGTCTCTAACCATCGGTGACTTTCGTCTCGCGGACCCCAACCAGGTAGTCTGCATCTACCAACATGACTCAGTCCACTTGTCAGTGACTTCATGTGTTTGTACCATGTTTTGGATTGACCGCCCCTAGCTTTCTTCCAACCTACTCCTACATCACAAGTCATCGCTCGTCGAGGCAGTCGCATTCACAAGAATGCAACACAGAAGATATTCAATTGTCAACCAGTAATATCAACTTAATGTTGAGTCAACCTCCATATTCCATTTTCGTCAAAAGTTTTAGAACGTACTTTAACAGCATAATAATTACCGTTAACTTTGGAGGTGTGGAATATTGCTGTTCAAAATCATTGGTCGTCTATCGGGTCTAGTTCATAAAGGTTCGAGTAGTGTTTCAATCTTATATTACCAGTCTAACAAAGCTCCTTAAGATTTTTTAGAGATCCAGTTTCTGAATGGATTTTTGTAGAAATCATTTTTTCTATTTGCTCATTTCGTTGTTTCGATCTCATAGCTTATTCGTGCTTGTAATAAAATTCTTTCATCTTTTCATTGTTTAATCTTTGATGTACACAGCAATCTTTCAAACTTTGTAATTATTAAATGACTTAAGTTTTCATTGCGTGGATTAATTTCACTCATGACTAACATAATTTATTATCTGACTTAGCCATGAGCAATCAATGTTGTCCAGAACTACAATTAAAGATGTCCTATTTCAGTAGTGCAAAACCACATCACTTTAACTACAAATATCTTCTCATAATAATTAAGAGTTTAAAATAATTTATTTCATACTGAGCCTCAATATGTTATGGTTAATTGAAATGGTTTGATACATTGAGAATGATACAGAAACGCCGACCAAGAGATTTTATCATGAAACAGGCAACACACTGAATAAATTAATATGGATCTTTCATTCATAACTATTTAAAATATCAGTTACTTGATAATGCAACACAGTAAATATTAAGTAAGAGCAAGCGTTACACAATAAAATAATCCTTCTCATTCTTAATTTGAAATGATTTTTTATCAGTAATAATAAAATTTATTTTCATTACTACTTTTTTTTTTGTATTACACCTCTCTTAGAATTCTCTTTATAAGTTTTTATATCATTCAATCAACGATTGAACAATTGGACGTTTGTTGTCAAATTGTTAAAAACTAGTTGATAACATAAGCATCATTAAAATTTTCATTTTGTTCAGGTCTGTCCATGCCAATCATTTGAATTTCTTCTTTGGTTAAATTCTCTGTTAGTACCCATAAATAAGTTGCATATAGTAGACTTGTTATCATTGCTAGCAAATATAATACCAGTAAACTTATTTGATACTGTGAACACCATTCTTTAAACTTGTTAAAAAGAATAAGAAACGTAAAAGCTGTAATAATAATGGATAGAATAAATGTGCTTTTTTTCTATGCTGTACAAATTCATTTAAATTTTAAAATATTTTAATGTTTTTGATAAAGCGAATAAGAAGAATTTAATAAAGAGTTCGGTCTCTATGAAACTCCGTCTGGAGCCCCTCTGGGGCTGTTGCCGGTTCCAAGCCTGGATAAAGAAGGAGTATTGCACACGTAGGTAGCGGCTTCATCTCGTAGAAAACTAACTGGATAAAAAAACGCTACCTGGAAAAAATCATTTAAACCATTTAAACTATGCTCTGAGAGTTAGAAGTTATTCATTTAGAAAAGTCATGACGTCTCATGATAAAAGCCGAGTTTCTTCGAGGTTACGAGGTCGATGCATCTTCTGACAACTAAAGCAATCATTAATTTAGGTACATGGAATGTTCGTACTATGTGGGAAACCGGAAAAATCGTCCAAATTGCTGCACAAATGAAAAGAAACAACCTGCTGGCACTTGGAATCAGTGGAACACATTGTATGCAGTTTGGACAACAAAGACTAGCTTCAGGAGAGATGCTGTTAAGAAGCACTGGACATTTCAGCGGAAAACATCACTCGACGTTAATGCGGCGTTTCTTTTGGATACTGACAAACTTAATGGATTCAGTATGGTCCTAAGCAATAGGTTCCAGGCATCTCACGAACTATCTAATGGAAAGGACACAACCACGGAGAGCATTTGGAAAGGGATCAAGGAGGCGTTCTATTCAACACGTCACGAGGTCCTGGGTCGCAAGAAGCACCATCACAAGGAATGGATCTCTGTTGGTACTCTTGAAAAAATTGAAGAAGGGAGTAACAAGAAGGCAGCAATCAACATCAGCTGAACAAGAGCACAGAAAGTCAGGGCATAAGCTGAATACACAGAAGCAATTAAAGAGAAGCATCAGAGACGATAAATGAAAATATGTAGAAGATCTCGCAATGACGGCGGAAAAGGCTGCAAGAGAAGGAAACTTCGGACAGTTATACGATACAACGAAGAAGCTCTCTGGAAACCATCGTAAACCAGAAGGAACAGTGAGAAGCAAGGAAGGCAAAGTAATCAGCACTTTAAGCACTTTAAGAAACTCTTGAATCGACCAACTCCTCTGAACTCACCCAACATCGAAGCAGCATCTACGGACCTCTCAATCGATGTTGGCGCACCTACGATTGAGGAGATCAGCATGGCCATCAGACTAATCAAGAGTGGCAAAGCAGCAGGACCACAAAAAATTCCAGCACACGCAATGAAAGCAAACGTGGAAGCAACTGCAAAAATATTTCACATTCTCTTCAACAAGATTTTGGTTGAAGAACAAGTACTGATAGACTGGAAAGAAGAATGCCTCATCGAAATACCAAAGAAAGGCGATCTCAGCAAGTGTGAGAACTACAGAGGCATTACTCTTCTCTCAATACCAGGCAAAGTTTTCAACAGCGTGCTGTTAAACAGAATGAAGGACTTCGTAGACGCCCAACTTCCAGATCAACAAGTTGGATTCCCTAGGGATCGATAGTATAATGACCAAATTGCAACACTACAGGTCATTGTGGAACAATCAATAGAATGGAACTCACCACTCTACATCAACTTCATTGACTATGAGAAAGCATTCGATAGCGTGGAAAGGAAAATACTATGGAGGCTTCTTCAACACTACGGCGTTCCTGAGATAGTCAACATCATAAGGGATTCTTATGATGGATTTAACCGCGAAATCGTGCATGGATGTCAGCTGACAAACTCGTTTGTGGTGAAGACCGGTGTGAGGCAAGGTTGCTTACTCTCACCCTTTCTCTTTCTCCTGGTGATCGATTGGAAGAAGTCAACATCTGGAGAGAAGCACGGTATCCATTAGACAATTAGGATGCAGCTGGAAGATTTGGACTTCTCATAAGACGTGGCTCTCCTATCTCACATGCAGCAACAAATGAAAGAGAAGACGACGGTGTAGCAGCAGCCTCAGCGGCAGTAGGTCTCAGCCTACACAAAGGGAAAAGCAAGATTATCCGATATAATACAAAATGCGCCAACCAAATCACTCTTGATGGAGATGCCTTGGAGGATGTAAAAAGGTTTACATATCTGAGCAAGGTATGTCTTATGCAGTCGTGAAGGCTCAGACCAGTATTTCCAGGCCAGCATTTCGACAATTGAACAGCATCTGGAATTAGATAGAATTTTCAGCGCAACTGTCAAGACAGTTCTACTGTATGGAGAGAAAACTTGAAGAACTATGAAAGCCATTATCCACAAAATACAGGTGTTTGTTAACGATCGTCTACGCAAAATACTTCGGATTCGTTGGCCAGACACTATCAGCAACAACCTACTGTTGGATAGAACAAACCAGGTTCTAGCGGAGGAAGAAATCAAGAAGAAGCGCTGGAAGTAGACAGGACACATTTTGAAGAAAGCACCCAATTGAGTCACAAGACAAGCCCTCACTTGGAATCCTGAAGGCTAAAAGAAAAGAGGAAGACCACAAACACATTACGCCGAAAAACGGAGACAGTTATGAGAAGAATAAACGACATATAGTCATTTGTAACATTTAGCCAAGTTTACTTTTTTGTGAATAGTTTGTATGTGAGCACGTTATTTTATAGGGAAAGAAACTTTTTCAGACTTAGGTGGTGCAATCTCCCACATTTTCTCTGGTTGGTTCTGTGAGATAATAATTCATCTCACGCGTTAATTGACAACTACATTGAAAAGGAAGTACTTGGTTTGGTGCCCTCAACAAAACGTTTTCTAAAATGAAAAGCATTCTTTGAACTTATTTCTTATCAAAAGATTTTCGTTCCTACGCTTCATAACAGACGTATTCCATTCAGTCAAGCTCTAAAAAAGCATGCTTAATACAACTGATTATCAGAATTGGAGGTCCGTCAGTAATGAGAACCACTTAAAAATCAATCAGGACTTTACAACTAAGGAACTAAAATAATGAGTTTCGGTCAGCATATAAACTATAAATGGATTCTTAGATATAACTAAACATCAGTCACAGAAAAGTAAAAGACGTCATACTGAGAACTACCATAATTCAGTGGAAAATTTAGTGATTGAAGGTATGGGCATAAGATGCAACTCTGTTTGTAAAGGTTAACACTGGTGCAGATACATTCACTTGAAACGTGATTACACTGAAAGCGAAAATCCAAAATATTATTGAAATATTTATTGATAGAGAACTTGTTAAAACAAATATTATATTGAAGTGCATAAAAACGTCTTATCACGAAAATAAACTTTAATCGCTTACTAAAGTCCAGATACTTGGAGGTGGTTTTATTACCAGGTGAATTGATTGCGTAATAAATGTCCGATTATATGTAGAATTGATTTTATTCAGTATTCGACATTCATAGTACCCTGTCATTGTTTCCACAGTCTCATATAATCTTCTATATTCTGTATCCCATAATGTGAACTGTGTACTTACATTTGTTGGATTTACATCTTCCTTGTCATTCTTATTATCTTCTTCTTGTTTGCTAACATGTGGATTTTTCACTTCTGTATACCACCATAATTCATTCTTGTTTATGTTCATCTGTTCTCCTTTTTCGAATAAAGTTACATTCCAGTAAACAAACCATCTTGTTGTAGATTTGCTTATTATAGGCCATAATCCCAAAGCATTGCAAAATAAATCGAATTGTACTCCATGGGGTAACACCTAAGCACACCATTTTCCAAACAATGTTGTTCTATTACTTAGTTGTAAATAAAGTAGTATGTTTGTATTAAGAAATTTAGAAGTCTACTTTTTATTAATAACGCATAAGGTACATTCTAGATTCTTGCACTGATCATTATCCAAAATGTAATAAGCGAAATAATTAAATAACAGTCTAATGAGTTTCCTCTTCATAATGATATATTTCAAAGGCCATTCTGCAAATGCTATTTGTCTTTTTAATCAATTCCACGTAACAGTCATAATCTCAGAGACAAGTTTGCATTATTTATTGAAAGTTTGTTTAATGAATGACTTGATATATGTTTTATCTTTATTAAGACCTAATATGTAACTAGACTTGTTTATCTCATAAAATTGCATCATTTCCTTTACCTAACAACATGTTAATGATGAGAAAATGTCAGTATCAAATTTATTGTTACTTAAAGAATAATTTGTTTATTAATTGTTTCAAAGAAAAATTTATATTTTGAATTTTTTTTTCACTTTTGAACTATTGATTAAACATATTATCATCACATACTTGTTTCCATTGATGAATATAAACTGGGAAGAAGCAAACTGTTTCAAAATAGCCAGGTTCATATTCGTAACCAAATCGATAAATTCCCATGGTCGATGGTTGTAAACGATGAATAGTTAAATGATCATCTTCAACAATATACAGATTTGAGTTTACTATTGGTTCTCCTGGAGTATCGTAAGGCTCTTTAGAATTTTTAGGAATTGAACGAGTCCAGTAAGATTTGGATTTTGGAAAACGATCAGATTTATCGAATATCTCCATTCGAGAAGTAAGTGATGATGGACAGAAAAGTTTTAATGTACTGTGGATTCGCTGCGCCAGACCGCCTGATAATTTCCAAGTATCCGCTGCTCTCTGAAGATTCAAGTCTCCTAAAATTAATGAATCCTCTTCAGTGCTTAGTGTTCTCCTATATGGGCAATGATGGCGATTGCATGGTTCCCATAATGCTTCACCTTTCATAATTGCGGTAAGTGCTGATCCCGTTGGAGCGTCAACACTGGTAATAGTTGATAAATTGGCTGCCATTTCTGCCGCTTCTGGTGGTATTTCACAATGGGCACCATCTTGTGAAGGTTTCGGGCAAGCACACTGACGTATTCTTAATCCCATCCCACGTTTTCCACAATGACGTGTACACTGTTTTGTAACCGGCGACCAAGAGCACCATTGTCCCATCCGTGGACACGGTAAATGACCTTCACATAATACCTGTTTATATAAATTTTAGGACTAAATCGAAGAATTCTTGTGAGTAAAATTTCAAAAGAAACCTATTTGGTGCATAGAAAACAAACCGTAACTTCAATAGCGTTTTTATCACGTTCTACAGTTATAAATCAATTAGCCTTTCTTTTAGTAGCCTATATATATATGAATTTGAATTTGTTAGCAATTTGTCAATAAATTTTTATCGCTTTGAAATTTCTAAGTAATATGATGCACCTCTAGATTTACAGAGCAAGTAATATAGTACATATCAGTTAGATATCTTAGTAAGAACAAATCATTATGTAAAATGACATATTTTTATTGTTACATTTGAAGCCACGTCAATGCAGTGTTATTAAGTTTCGATAGCAATACGTTCTTTGAACTAGATAAGTCAGTTAGATTTATTGCATTGTGAATTCTTTTTAAAAAGATGAAAAGCACACTGGATTAGATCAGAATAAATATAGAAGATTTTATAACCTATGAAGTCCAAGTAACTGACATTCTATCGTAGATTTTATGAAAGTAAATCATTTTCATCATGTTCCATAGATAATTAAATTTTCTAATATAACAAACTCATGTTCACTTATGACATTTGGTGACCACTACTCTATAGAGCGAAATGAATGATGTTGAAATAGTTCATCACTGAATTGTTACCCATTAGTTGAAAATTTAAAAAAAGCTTTTCATATTAGTTAGAAATGTCCTGAATTGGATTCTGTATAGAATAGTAAATTATTTGAATTGAATTATTGAATCTTTATCTAAATTAACATAATTATTGAGTGATCTTTTTCACTAGTTTTGTATCCAATGTCAGTTATTAAGCAAAAATTATCTTCATCTAATTAGTTATTTTCCATGTGAATCATGGTTATTATTGCTATTATGATGTTATTGATTTTCATGAAGCGATAACAGAATCATGGAATATTGAATTTTATCAGCATATTGAAATGTAACAATTATATTACATTTGGTAAACATTAGCCTCTTCTGTTAAATATAGTTTAGGCTATAATCACTTACAAAACTGACAAATATTAGTTTATTTGTTAGAACAGTGTTGCTGAGAAAAATGTAGGATTACCTCTTGATAATCAGTACCTTGACAGTATAATCCACCTCCTTGTGGTCGAGGATGAGTACAGTGACGACGACGAATACGTTTTCCTTCACCACATGTAACAGAACATTCACTGAATTCACTCCATCGCCCCCAACCACCATTAACAACGGAACATAAACGACTTACTGGACAAGGAACTTTTTGAATCCTTTCATGGATTCTTTCAATAGATGCACACGATTGTGAAATTGATTTTTTTACTTTATATTTATAACTTTTATAATTGAATGCCCCTGTACAAAAACGAACACGATATTTCTCAGCGACTCCACAGGTTTCTGTACATTGAGACCAGGGTGACCAGTTGGTCCACCAAGGTTCACATTCACCACGTCTAAGAACTTTTACGCATGAATCTGATTGCTGGATTAATAATAGTAATAACAATAATAATAATAGTAATAACAATAATAATAATAATAATGATAATAATATGGAAAAAATTTACTGTAAGTAAATTAAATGTAAAAGTGACAGTATTTCTGATGTTAATGTAAGATGGGATTTGTAGGACAACGATTCAACTAATTTTAATGGCAAAACTAAATGTTAGTGCTAGGAGTGGCCAAGCCAAAACATGGCAGAAATCCATAAAGCAACCGACAACTGGACTGAGCCGTGTTGGTAGGTGTTGACTATCTGATTGGGTCCCACGAGATGATATTAATCGATGATTAGAGACCCTGAATAACATGGCTCAAAACCGTTTGCAATGGCGCAGGTACATTCATTCTTAGTGTTCTCTCAAATCCTAACCTTCAGATATCCTCATCACCTTTGTCTTTTTTTTTAAGTTTATTCTATTAGATTCTACTTGTTGAACAATTTTGTCGAACCCTAGTTTCTCTGATTAATTCTAATACTTCTACTACCTCTACTACTATTGGATTTGAATCGACAGTTGTATATCTGTGCTAATGTGTTATGGCAACTTGAGCTGATGTAGGTACGTACGAAGTTCTACGTTGTTGTTGACTGATTGGCTGAACTAAATGTTGTAATGAATTATTGGTCTAAGTAGTTAATGACGGTGTAATTAAAACTGGCTGTTAGTTAATTGTTAATTTACTTAATAGTATGCCTGTTAACTGTTCAGTAGAAGAACTTTGCCTATATTTAATCTGATGTATTTAATTAGCCTAATATTAAGTCATACCGAAATAATTTATCATTATACTGGTAATCCGTACACGAATTCATGAAAATTACTTAATTTGTACAAAATATATCCAAAACCATGTTTGTGTATAACATTTATTTATTTTGCAACCTTTCGAGTAATTTTGAAGAATAATTGCTAATACTGGTGTTTAATCAAATAAGATCTAGTTATGTTTAGAATGCTATCGAGTGGTCATAAATTGACCTACAAATGTGATAGAAACAGATAGTTACACAAAAGCATTGAACGATCTATGCACCACAATTACTTATTTACTTACCCCCAATGGAGCATAGGCCTCCCACCAGTTTTCTCCAACCAACTCTGTCCTGGGCTTCCCTTTCCAATTCTGTCCAATTTTCGTTCATTCTTCTCATATATTTCTCTATTTCTCGGCGTAATATGTTCCTTGGCCTTCCTCTTTTCCTTTTGCCTTGAGGGTTCCATGTGAGGGCTTGTCTCGTGACGCAGTTAGGTGCTTTTCGTAGTGTGTGTGTCCTATCCACTTCCACCGCTTCTTCCTGATATACTCCTCCACTGGAATCTGGTTTGTTCTCTCCCACAGTTCGTTGTTGCTGATGGCGTCTGGCCAACGAATCCGAAGTATTTTGCGTAGACAACTGTTCATAAACACTTGTATCTTCTGGATGATGCCTTTCGTAGTAATCCAAGTTTCCGCACTAGCAAAAATTGGTTGTAGTTTGTCGTGCTTACCGGAGAATTCTGATTCAGTCGTCCAAAGGTTACGTTTATGCGATAAGACATAATGGGTTGTGTTTATATTTGTTGCTTGAATAGTGCAGTTTACACATATGTTTTAGTTTTTTCTTTTCAAACCACACTGTCCAATATTGAGTTTTTCTCGCTGTTATAACTACCGTAGATAATGCGCTCCCTTGTGTCAGTTCACATGTTAATAATTTAATCTTGCTCTACTGACATGTAATGAACACTTGAGCTAATGCACAATTGTTCTCTGTGTTTATCATGACCAACTAACCGAATTCAGATCTTTACATTTTAAATATATTACAAACACTTCTTTTGATACATACTGCAAAGCTATTAAACAATAATTTATAAACAAATATCTAGTAAAGTATTTTTATCTCGCTAAATGTGGATTGATCAACTAAACGCTAACTTTAGGATTCAATTAAGTGTATCATATATATGAATTCCATAAATACAAAGAAAGCGTTTTGGACAAATCTGTCAGTTAAATCGTGATTTATTTACGAATATTATGAATGTCTTTCTTCTTTTTTTGCAAGTAGTTATCAGTAGCCATAGGATATTTGTATTTTATGTCACTGACTGACCAAACCTAGACAATCATTAAAGTCAAGAAGAAATAAATAATTGTTTTGATCTAGTATGATATTTCTCAGCAGTTCTCATCTATAATTCCTCAAGAGACAGAACTCAGAACTTACACAGATTTCGGCTAGTTCTCCACTCTCATACTGTTGAGTTATACCTAGAGATAGTTTACATTTCTCATTTCAGTTAATTTGTAGCTTAGTACAATACCATTTGATCATTGAGTCCAGTGGTTGACATTGCTGATTTGAATTGATTTGTAATACGGCACAATCTTCATTCGAACATACCATCTCACCAAGTAACTGAATAACTAAAACAGATAATTGAGTAAGACTGGAATTCTGAAAGGCTGATCTTGAAATTAGTCACTGCTAAGTACAAGATTATTAATAATTCTTATAGTTATGTAATGACTTTTATATAGTTTGAAATATATATATATTTATAAATAATACCAGCAGTTATAACTTACAGCATGGTTTTTAAGTTTAGCACATGGGCTATTTTCTGTACAACTTCCACCGATACATTTATAACGCGTAGCCATTTTAGCAGTACATTTCGTTCTCGAACCAGGACAACGCCATAGGCCCCATTCTGAATTACTACTGCAATCATATGATACATGATCAAGTGTATTTCCTTCTCGATTAATTAATATGATATTTCCATAAATTAAAATAATCATCCTCAAAAGCATCATCTGAAAAGTTAATATGCTTTTTTTAAAAATAAATTATTTCATTGAAAGATAATCACAATTAGCAGTTCTATATACATTATTGATTTATTGACTACTGAATATTACAAACTAGTAAATGAATAGAAATCTCTCTCATATATATATATATATATATATATATATATATATATATATATATATTCAGATTACATATCTATACATACTTAGAAATCTTTTCAATAGTAAAGGAAATAATTTTAATAAGAATTTCAAAACATTTGTTTTGTAAAAGTAAATGAGTTAATTTTTTTCGACGTATTGTAACACTGTTGGATGATAATCTTTATGAAAACTTTTTATATTTAACTTATTGATGTCAACTGAGTAATAAAGTAGTCTTAGCAAGCTATATTGTTCTGATTACATAGAAGGCTTCAACTTACTTAAACATGTATATATAGTTACCGGGTCACATCACAAAACATCGCTCGTTGAGGCAGTCGGTGGTCAGACATACGCAACACATGTCCCAACCACCTCATCGATTTGTCTGACATCCTCACCTAGTACTCATTTCCTTACAACAGTATTGCTTACTCGATTGACCCAGGATATACGAGCAACGCTTCGAAGACACCGATAACCGAAAACCAGTTACGCACGAATATCTTCAACTCTTACTGACTATGTTTCACAATCGTAAAGTAGGACGCAGAGAACTGCTACGCATTATAATCGTCATTTGTTTAGCAGACGGATATCTCACCTACACCATAAATGGCGCAAGTTAGAAAAAGCCAGTAGAGCTTTCTATATCCGTGCGGAAACTTCATCATACAACAGGCCCTTCAGCAGTGACGAGACTCCCAAGATAAGTGAAGTGGTCAACACGCTCTAATATTTCACTCCCTATCAACGGCAAATAGTTGTATATAATTATGCATTTCAGTGGAATCGCAATGCGTCAACATGTGTACAAACTTTACCATTCATGAATAAGTAGATGCTGAGTGTAAAACTTTCTTCAGTGAACTGAATACAAGTTATCATGTAGATCAGTTTCACCTATTTTATGCTTTACATGAAAGGTAATTCATTAAGCACGACAAGTTCTAAACGATTACGACGTAAAGTACGCCGTTGTTGATAGTTAGGTTAACGTGAATATTGGTATCATGATTACTATCATGACTGTTTTTATTACTTCAGGTTGAAAAATCGAATTTTGTTTGGTCTTAAAAAGTGTCTTTACTGGTCTCTTGGTTACTATTCTGTTACATTCGTCATTAAGTATACTTGAAACTATTACGGATTCACCTTAGTCGATAAACGTGAACTAGACAATGACCAGCGTCCAGGTAGGCTACCTTGATCCCAAACTGCAAAACAGAAGTCTTGATAAGCGTAAAAAGTATATTCTACAAAACACCCAGCAAGCACGATGCAATCAAGCACACAAATCTTGTTTATTTATACATCATAGAAACATCCTTGGGACAGTCACAAAAATAGCACACTAAAATACACAACAGCCAATCACAGCCGAGGATTTATCAGTCCAAGCTCGCAAAAATGAAATCCAAAATTAAGGCATTTATCTATCGAGTTCTGGGGATCTTACGTCCTCAACATATTCCTTACATGTTTAATGTTTATCGATGAAAAGTGCTATCTGATGCATTAATGATCGATAGATAGTTTTATAAGCCGTAAAGATTATTAAGTCTGTCGACTTCGCGAGTGAACTTCAGACGGAAGAAGAATACTTAACTGATATCAAATATAAGCGTCTGAATTTAAACTTTAAATCGCTCTCACTTTTACAATAACTTACTTCTTTTATTACATTCATGATGAGATGTATTCGACATAAAATGTGACGCGAATTTAGATGAACTTCTTGAACCTCTGCAGCCACAACTAGTCAGTCTTCCGTGAAAAACCCCATCAGCTCTCGGTTATAAGTTGAGCACTTAGAGAATGAATGATAGAAGTGGTGAAATTTCACGACTTATTAACACTACGTTAACAGGTATGACCACGAAATTAGAGATTAAATGGATTGGATTGGCAGTTAACAAGAACATATACTGAAGATAATTAAGTATTTATTTCATCATATCGTGAATGAAATGCGATGGTTTTTTGCAACAAATATTTTACAAGAAAAATGAATAAACATAAAACTAGATCGAAATAACAGGGATGGAGAATCGGATATTCATAATATGGAAGTGTAAAAAAGTTGCTTACATATATACTACAGGCTACTTTTCCAAGTATAACAAACGTACACTAAGTGTTGAAAGACGTCGAGCAAATGACAGCATCAGATTGCGATTAAAGTGGTTGCTATTGTTACTGCAATTTCATAATTAGCCATAATATTGAGAATGTATATTTTTTTTCTTTTCTGAGCGATAAAACGTTCGATACTTTTGCATCCGAATCTTTATAAGGTTGAAGATGTTCAGTATTAGGCAATTCGAAATGGAGACGAACGAACTATCGAGAACACGGTGGTTTAATAAAGAGACGCATAACCTCATGAAAATTATTTTTGTAAGCCTATAAATACTTATAATGTGAGTATTATCCGGTACAGATTGAACTCAGTTGGGATGTTAGCGAAAAATAAAACACGACGGAAAACTAATTCAATTCCAACAAATTTATAACTTAATATATATATTTCATGAGCAATAGCTTAAATGATTCATATCTCCGACATTTAAAACATAAATAAATTATAAGAAAGACTGACTCATTGATACATCGTCTTCCTCCTCTGTGTCATTCTCTTAAACTTGTCTATTTCCCTTCCACTGTTTCTGCTTATTCTTCAGAGTTCAATCAAAATAACAGTATTTATTGTTATTTTCATAATTTATTTACAATAAACAATTCTATTTCTTTATTTTTTTTTCAATTCACATATGAATAACAATATAATTTCACGTTTTAATTAAGTCCATCTTCTGAACAGGATATTTACAATGACTCATAGGTTCCTAAAGTATAAGTAAATGTAACTGATTGACCGATAACTACAAGCATTGAACAGACAAAAGACAGACAGTTCTTGTATTCCTCTACGAATAAGCAACATTCTGTCTAGTTTTGAGGCCAACTCAATAACCAGTCAATGACAAATGGGATCTTTTTACATTTAGAGCAATAGAAATGCAGTCACCTCAAATGAATCATTTTTTCATTCAGTTCGTATTCATTAGAATGGTGGATGAATCGGTACACTGAAAATGCTAAGTGATTTGTAATGTTTTATATTGCGTCAGGCGAAAAAAATACAGCTGAGTTGTAATAGTGGACGTAATACTAGCCTACATTAAAAAACATTGTTAGAGCAGTACAAGTAGACTTTAGTTAATTAACCACTGAGTTGTAGACTAACTAGCGGAAGTATCATAATAGCATGGCATGTCTCAGTAGTGATTATGACAGTAAATGATGTTTACTTTACCGACCCAGAAAGGCTAATGAATTCCAAACATTTATTTAATTCAACAGAGAACAAGTTTTCAAATATCATATTATATCATTTTATGTTTAACAAACTCAAATAGCTAATTTATTCTTTTCTACATAAGCTCTTTCAACTTGACTACATTTCTGTATGTAAAAAGATCCCATTTATCATTGACTGGTTATTGAGTTGGCCTCAAAACTAGACAGAATGTTGCTTATTCGTAGAGGAATACAAGAACTGTCTGTCTTTTGTCTGTTCAATGCTTGTAGTTATCGGTCAATCAGTTACATTTACTTATACTTTAGGAACCTATGAGTCATTGTAAATATCCTGTTCAGAAGATGGACTTAATTAAAACGTGAAATTATATTGTTATTCATATGTGAATTGAAAAAAAAATAAAGAAATAGAATTGTTTATTGTAAATAAATTATGAAAATAACAATAAATACTGTTATTTTGATTGAACTCTGAAGAATAAGCAGAAACAGTGGAAGGGAAATAGACAAGTTTAAGAGAATGACACAGAGGAGGAAGACGATGTATCAGTGAGTCAGTCGTCTTTATAGCTTATTGTTTTGAAGATACTGATAAATGTAAATACAATAATATATATATATATATATATATATATATATATATATATATATATATATATATATATATATATATATATATATATATAACGGTGTGGATATTCAGCCATCATATTGATTTAGAATTTTCAATTAATAGTTGCAAGTGTGTGCTTTTGAATCGTAACCCTTCGTTTTGGCGATGAAGTTCACATTCAATCGCCTAAAGGTTCTCTATTGATTCATCGATAGATTCATGAATGTAACTCGTCTTTCTCTTTCATATTACTTTTTTCGAGCGTTATGTAGTTTGTATCGAAGTCGTAACTGGTTCAAACTGTGAATAATGATACCTACAAAATAATGTAATAGAAAAGTGGATGCTTGCAAGTGCGTGAAGTACCTTCGCATCAATCTACGAACAGTTCTTAAGAAAGCATTTAACAGAATGCTGATGAGCCAAATTTAGTATTATGCTGACAAACAACTTCGAGATTAGCAGGCTGGAATTCGTAAAGTTCGATTATGTACCGATCAAATCGCCACAGTACTATAAGAAAGCATTTGATAGCGTAGCCCGATGACATTATCTGGCTCTCTTCAGCACTATGGCGTACGTGAGAAGATAGTCAACAGCTTAAGGAATCGTTGTGACGGACCAAACTGCTATTCCATGAATAAAGGGCAGCTCATAGACTCATTCAAAGTGAAAACCGGTGTCAAGCGAAGTTGCTTACTCTCACTTTCTCTTGGTGTTCGAGTTGATCAGAAAGATGTCAACATCTCAGTGGAACTTCGCAGATGATCTATCGCACGCGCAACAACAAATGCAGGAGAAGACAACTAGTGTAGCGACAACCTCTGTAACAATAGGTCTCAACATATGCAAGGGAAGAAGCAACATCTCCTGTAGAGATGGAAACCTTTGCATACCTGGTCAGCAA